GAAAACACATAGCTACTATATGCTTGTATCCCCTCAATAATAACATCTGATGACCCTTTTTTTTTTTTTGCTTATCAAGGGATTTTGGTAGTTGATAGTGCCCCCCCCCCCAACTAAAAAAGTGTGGTTGTGCCCCCTCAAAGTGAAATTGCTTCCTACGGGCCTGTCATATACCACTGAAAATTTAATGACACTTTCAAAGAATCTTCAATACGTAGTGCCATTGTGCACCTCCTATTTTATGGTCTGTTCTGATCGGACAGTTATTTGGGGTTTCCCATAGCAAAAAATGGACTTTATCATTATACTCATATGGAAGCGGGGGTATCATTTTGGGAGCTCTGTGCTCACAGTACCTCTAGTTTAAGTTTCTAATCAATGCATGAATCACGGGTCTCTTTTACATCTTTTTTTAAATGGAGATCGCGAGGAATCAGTGTGAACAGGTGCCAAAAGGCAAGAATTTGATTGTACCAAGGTACAGCTGTTTTAAAAATGCCTATGGATGCCTAAATGTGATCGATTTGAAGTCCAGGATGTAAAGTTTCAGAATTTTTTTAGCGTTATACAATGTATATGGTAACAGTAAACTGAATTCTAGTTAAAAACTTTGGAAACTTCACTAAAATTTCTTAAAATGATTTTTTTTAAATTCTAGTATGAAAAATTTAGGCAAACAAGGATTCATTCATTAAAATATTTGTGTATACATAAAATCTGGGATCCTCCTCAGACCAACATTAAAAGGAAAGAAAAGTACCCCAATTACATGTATGTAAATGCATCAAACATTTTGATTGTACACACAAGTAATCTGAAGCTGATGTCAAAAATATGCTTGAGTTTCTGATTGACAATATCTATGTGGTTTTTGGAGACCAGGTCTTCCAACAATCTGTTGGAATTCCCATGGGTACCAATTGCGCCCGTTATTAGCAGACCTATTTTTGTGTTCATATGAAGCAGAATTTATTCGAAATCTTATGCACGAGAAGAAGAAAACACCTTCAACTCGACAATTAGAAATATCGACGACGTATTATCAATTAACAACAGTTATTTCCATTCATATGTCGACATGATATATCCCAGTGAGCTTGAAATAAAAGATACCACAGAGCCTGACATATCTGTTTCATATTTGGATATTTTACTAGAAAAAGACGTTAATGGTAATCTAACAACAAAGCTTTATGATAAACGTGATGACTTTAACTTTTTAATCGTCAACTTCCCTTACTTATGCAGCAATATACCCTTATCGCCTGCATAGTGTATATCTCTCAGTTGATTTGATGTAAGAGCATGCTTTACGCATGAACAATTTCTAAAACGAGGTAAGTTATTGACAAACAATATGATGAAACAAGAATATCAACAGTCTCGTTTAAAGTCATTATTTCGTAAGTTCTATGGTCGATACATTGACCTTGTCAGCAAATACAGTCTATCACTAACTCACTACTCTGAGAGTACTCGAGCTGTGATGCGCCATTGCAATTTTTTTTTCAAAAATGTCGAAAAGAAATTCAAAAGTAGCGAAAATGATTTTTTTTTTTTTAGATATACCATACAAAAGTGTGTGTACTCCTGTCTAGCTCCTTTTCTTATTCAATGTATGCAGATTAGCTCCTTTGTTTAATTAATAGAAGCAGAGGTGTGAATTCAGGGTGTGAAAACTGAAAGGTACAAAACAATGTACAGGTAAGAAATCACGACTCGCTTGAACGCACACAGCTGATTAGGTGTATAGCATATACACTTGTCATGAGACATGAGATGTGAGAATGCGATTCCTTTCATCGCAAAAAATTATAAAAATTTTTTCCCTCCAGTGGGAGGACTTAGTCTAAGTCAAATGCTGACTGACGTTTTTCATACTAATTGTTAGGCCATTATTTACACACTGAATTGTCGACGGATTTTTCCGTTATTTCCCAATCATGACAAGGAGCACACAGCGAGTGTGACCGGTCGGCTGGGGATGCTCACTCCTCCATTGCACCTGATCCCACCTCTGATGTTTTAGAGGTCCGTGCTTGCTCTGTTCCTGATTTGTATTGTTTGAATGGACTTTTAAGCTTGAAAATTGTTCGTTATCGCCATACATTCCTTTGTCTGTTACTACAGTACTTTAATGTTCTAATGCTTTTAAACAAGGAGATACTCTAGGCAAAACTGTGGCTTATGACCATCTGATTCAAGGTCATTTGGGCAAGGCTACGGGGATTGGAAGTGTGAGTTCCCCGACTCTGCAATAAAGCATTGTTAGGTCAGACTTACTTGGCTAAAAGGAAGAATATAGACCTAAACAGATGATAGCCCTGACCCTTAAGCTAAGTCATTTAACAAAGGTTGAGGTCAAATATGTCAAAGCTGGATCATGCTTGGAGGCTCGGGTACATTTGCACAACCAGTCAACCACTTGTTCCTATTAATGTTTTATCAAGTTAATTGTTGATGCTTTATATTTGCAATTTCTGTTTTATTTTCTGTTTGGGGATTTGGATTGCTACCTTGAATGTAGTGGCTAGGCGGTAGTATTCTCCAGATGGGAGCATTTTTAATTAGCTTAGTTCGAAACATTTTTGCTCATCAAATGTTCAGTGACTATACAGGTCCAAATTATTTATGAGTTACTAATTAATTGCATGATTCTATGCCATCTTTGACTTTGCATCAATGAATGCTGCATTAATTTAGTTGCTCTTCTAATAAAGCTATAAATTCGTGCACAGTTGGCATTATATTTATATACACAACAAAATAAAAAAAATTTGACTTTTACTCAGTTCATACATGCACGTATAACCTACCTAAACATTCTGCAGTAACACAACACTCGGCTATTTTCATATCAATTTATATATATATATATATATATATATATATATATATATATATATATATATATATATATATATATATATATATATATATATATATACACATACATACATACAATGTTTTGGTCATATCTGACTTACCTGGTATTTTTACAGGAATAAGGTTCACGCGAAAGGGCAGGTTCTGTTCGGCAGCGAGACCCCGGCTTTTTGAAACTGTCGATGAAACAGAGTTGTAGGGTGAAATCCTTACATCCCCTCGTCGCCATTTGGGAAAGACGACGATCCACAGACCTTACTGTATCCATTATCATGCAACTGACGAAATGTTACACCAAGTTCACTCGATGTATTGGTACGCTGCATATACAACTGAATTGCATCGCCCAAAACGGATATGTTTTTAATTTTCGTGTGCATTATCGGCATTTAAATCTAGGCAGTTATTTGTTTTTTATTCATCAATTGTTTATTGTTTTAAGAAAATGCCTTTTTAAACAGGTAACACCGCACGGCATCAGTTCAGTGGTTATTATTTTAGGTGAACCATTCTGTCACCCATTAAGAGATCTGAACTGAATTCCGGGCGGGGTAGTGCTGGGTATTTATTTGTCAATAAACCACACGTTCGTTTTAATGCATTATTACCAGTGTCGATGAACTGATGAATTGAACGCGATGATCTGAGGATAAGACCCGTACTACATGTATTTAAAATAAGGCCCAAAATGGTTTAATTTTCATAACTAACGCTATAGAATGTTATAATGGTTAATATTGTGCACCTTGCACAATTCTAGTTAACATGTTAATTCTACTGTCAGTGTTCTATGGGACAGTACCGTCAACAAGACTCTCACACTGTTTGATAAATCTGAAAAGAAAATTTAAAAATCAAATAATTCTAGTTAATGAAATACATTTTAACTACCATTTCTATGCTATTTTACAAAGTAGAGGATAGCCCTGGGGCTTCCTCAACAGACTTAACCGACCTCAATATTTTGTTGCTGTAAATGTATTCGTAGGAATCAGAATCAGGCCTGTAATCTCAATTAGTGAACCAGGCCAACCTCAAATAAGCAGCAGAAGAAACGCATAATATAAATTTCCACAGATTTTGTATGCAATTCTTTATACATGTATATGATCAACCCAGGTCCCTCACCTCCCTGAGACTCTGCGTTCTTTGACTTCTTTATAGTCAGATAAAATTATAAAATATACCAGGTCTTATTTCAAGCAAGTTGGGATATTAACTAGCTTGTTAAATCAAAATTGTAATTTTTTTCCCACTTGACAATACACTAGGAACTTCTAGAAAAATATGTTGTTAGACAAAACAAGCCTTCCTCTAGAGAGAAAAAAAGTGAACATTTAAACTTAGTTTCTGAAAGCATCATAATTTGTAAGCGTTTCGTTTTAAAATGTTTACCAATTTTCAATAACATGTCTCAAAGTAAAAGATTTCAATTACTGGGTAGTAGATCATGGCTGTATTAAGGCTGTCATATAATTAACTTTCATCATTAACGCCGAACGACAGCGTGTCCAACTTTAATTACACACCTTAAACAGTTAAAAGTCTACTTTAAATAATTATGACAAAATTCATTTATGTTTTAAAAGTGCAAACAATGCAATATTGGAATTAAGGTGTATGTCTCAATCACTTCAAAAAGAGGCTCATTGACCTTGATGGTCACATGAATGTCAAAACTTCCATACTCTCAATTGATAAAGGTCATACTCTCTATGACAAATATGTATAATATATAATTTACTGACGTCAAGCTTAAAGATTAGGGTCAACACCAATAGTGTTATTTCAAACATCATAATCATTTACCTATGTATGAATATAAAACTTTGAACAGGTCAGCCACAACAGAGCTGAACCCAACAGGCTGAACAGCTCAACAAAATCTTTGATGGATGGACAGACATCGGCACAAGTCCAAAGACTAGATTTTATCTCACAACCTTACAAATAAAAGGGAACAAAAAATACATCTAGATCGACCTCCAGTTTCACAAGTGGTTCCATGATATATCACTCTCAGTCTGTCTACCTTATATTTTTTCTGTGAAGTTTACAATGCAGTCTGAATTTGCCAGCTAATATTTCAAACTTTTAGCATAAAATAAAAAAGATTTACATGAGGAAATTTTTTATTTCTTGAATACAAAATTGGAACACAAGGCTCTGAATATAGTTCAAAAGAAACCACCTCCAACTATAAAGCAAGAATTTACCAAGAGGAATAACTCTTATATAACAATTAACAATTCATCTGAAATACATGTATTAGATAAACATATTGCAGAAAGCAACCGTTATAACAAAGTATACAGAATTATATGTACATGTATAATCAAAAAATTGCACTATGCCAAAATATTCAATCAAAATATACATTCTCTTTATATTATGTGCATATATTAACATATGGAACAATGCCATTTATAGCAACCGAATCAAGTCATAATGATGTACTTGTACATGGCACATGAATTATGATAAAAATATACAAGTTTTTGATAAAAATTCATAATAATAAAGTAGAAAAAATATAGTTACCATTATAGAATTCAAATTAAAAATACACCTTGGCTAATGTTTCTATGTTTGATATTGATTTCTTTCAAAGGACAAACTCAAATTTTGATGATGATGTAGCAGATGGCTTAATTTTACATGACTCTACCCAGAAGGGTAAACAAACAAATAAAAACAATACTCATGATAATTTCTTCTTTGCTGCACAAATCCTTAATTCTGACATCTTTATCCTTAGCTGATTTCATTAGCTGCCAAAGTGGAATGATAAGGTGGAGAGAATCTGGAATCATCAGCCCAATGTCACGAGCATTCTGAAAACTAGTTCCCTTCCCCTGAATAACATGACTGACAAACTGATCCACTCCACTCACTAATATGTGCATCAAATTAATGCTAACGATGGCCAGCACCTTCCATGACACGACCTCATTCCTTCTATCACAGAGGTTCAACACAATACAGGTGGCAATGATTTCAGTCACCGTGAACATGAAGTGATGTTTGAAATAGTTATAGAAGTCTTCATTGTAATAGCTGAAGTAAGACCACCAGGAATAGTAGTGAGGGTACAAATTAATCAGGTACAGGGCAAACATGCTGCCCCTTAAACCACGACGCCGCACAAGGGGGATGAGATATTTAATACTTTCATACGCCAACAGGATAAACACCACCGTAAATATCCAAATACGAGAGGTTTGCCAGGTAGCATTGAAATATACATGCTTATAAGTAGTTTCTCCTGGGTTTTCATATGAACCTATAGGAGAAAAAAATACATGTATGCATTTAATATTGTTCGAAGTTTGGATTGTTCATCTAAAGCTGTGACATTTTTGAGAGTTTATAATTATACGAGGTCCCTACCTCTAAAGATGGTATCAAAACAGGTGTTTCTACAGGTCCTTCTGTCAATGTAGCCTTTCTGTGGAACCCAGATCTGAGCATAAAATACCCCTGGAAAATTAAATTGCTCTTGTTCAGTTTTTGCTATCAATGACCTCATTACATTTTGATAAGAACATATTTGTACATATCAGCAATCTACTACAAAAAAATATCAGCAATCTACTACCAAAAAAATTAACATTCATGTACTAATACTATTTTACATATTTATGGTATATCATACCATATTCATTCCATTAAAACTTGGAAGAGGAATACATGTAGTTGACACGTTTTTGATTTATGTAAATATTCTTCAAATGCAATATATTGTAAATAAATGTATAGGTGAAATTACAAGCCAATGACAAATCTCATTCTTGAATATTTCTAACCTATGTGGAGAATGGGTAGAAGAGAGATGAGGAATGCAGCAACAACGAAGGAGATAACTTTAAGTTTGTAATTTGTCACGGAAGGAGCACTGGTGTTATGGAGTGTGGTCAGACGAGACTCCAGAAATGTCTGTACAAAGTTATCTTTCACCATGGCCAGTCTGGAGTATGTAAATCAGTAATATCTGATCATGAACTGCAAAGACAATTCAGAACTCAATTAGCATTTTCTGTTAAATAATTTCTAACATCACACATAGCATTACCAGTACATTCTAAATCATCAAAAAACATAAACAGTCAATACTTTGAATTTTATCTTTTACTTTCTGACAATCATATATTTTTGTACATTTACATTAGCTATTTAGAATTAATATTTTTTTTAATAAAGTGTGCACTAATTCATTTTAAACTAATACAGTGTACTCATCATTTTCAAGACTCAAATGCATTAATTTATGATTGTGCTTATCAGTTAAAGATGATTATGCTAAAAATTTGAGTGTCATTCATGTACATTTACAATATTTTAAATTGGGAAATTTACTTTAATTCACTTTATTGTTTGGAATTATTTGATTTATACTTTTTTTTAAATAATCTAATTGGTGAACATATTTTCAAACTTATATCAAAATATATAGATAAATGGGTTTGCTAAAAACAAGCTGGCACTTACAGAGTTCATGATTTATTTTATAGCCTGAAGAAAGCATAGTACATCTTGTGAAAGCCTTAAGGATTATTTCACATTATGAAAACAATATAGATAAAATGTTAATATATGAAATATTAGATTGAAATAATATAAGAGAAACCCTGTTTTTCTGTTTCTTTAGGGAAAAAAAACATGATAATGTAGAAATGATCTATTGTCTGATTTTTCTTGAAAGATTATCACATGCATATTTACACATAATTTATGTTAGTACATGTATTTAAATCACAGATCCATTTATATCAAATAATGTATATATAAGAATGCACAGATTAAAATGATCACCAGTCAACTGAACTTTTTTAATTAACTGTATTTTTATGGCAAAGTTTCATAACCTGAGATTCTAATGTTTTCATACATGCAAATAATAAATGAATGATGTAATCTTTCAACAGAGTCCCCTATGGTAAATAAAATGATCATTCTGCATAATACATTGTATTATATTTGGTAACTTCATCTGCCTGTCTGAAAAATGTCCATATTGGGAAGTTAACCTGTGCCTTACTATGCTGACATTTTAAAATATTTAAAACAAGGACAATGTTCATATTGATTGGCAATGTAATAAATTACCCACTGACATATGGCTTAAAATCCATTTTAAGCAGGTCCAGGACCCTGTTTCAATTGAAAATTGACTGTTCTTTCCCCAAAATTAAGGTAAATATTCCCATTTGACAAGCAGACTATATTTTCCAGTGCTTTTCCTTTTAAATGAAATTATAGACAGCACAGCCAGATTTGGATGGTGCATACAAATAGTAAATTAAATGCTCTTTCTTTAATTTATGCACTTTTTAAACTTTATTTATGGAAATTCAGCTAACATATTTGACATCATATGACCTCACAGATGTTCCAAATGTCTCGTGCTGTTTGAAGAGGCTGATCTCAGTTAAAATGAAATATGGAGATAATGAACAGTAAAAGTGAATATCCAGAATACACAACTGCACTCGCCCCAACGGCCGTTCCGTCAACATATTATTCTACAGTTAAAGTTTTTTTTTTTTTTTAAAAAAACAACAAAAACATAATATAATACAAATTAATACAAATATTTATTGGCGCAAACACTATTACAATAATTGCCAAAGGCACAACACATTATAAGAATATAAAACTGTATAAGTAATCAATATTTCCAATCCCAATTTTGCCACATATTTCAATTTAGAATTCCCAACTGAAAGGGTACAGAAACCTTACCAAAATGGGTCAATTAAGCCCTGTTTAACGTTGTAGAAGAGCATTATTTACCTGTTTACAACTTGAATTTAGGACTGTAGGAATAAGAGTAACTACATATTTGCCTTCAAGAATAAGAAATGTACATGTCTGCAGTTCAATTTTTCTGTGTAAAAGAGCAAATTTCCTTACCTGTATCTCTCTGTCTCCAACGTCGCGATTTCTGCGTTAAATGATTAACAACCCTAATAATTAGCTAATTCTCCTTCAAAAATCATGTCGCACAACCAGGTGCTCGTGGTCAAATTCAAGCCATATTGTCAAAGGTTGCAAACTCGACTTTTCAAACACTCAAAGGACTAAGAAGAAGCACATAATATGTGAATTGCTTTGCATCACATTCCGGAAAGAAGTTCGTAACTCACATTGTGAATTTATCAACTAATGTTAGACAGAAACAACACTGACTTCCTTCATTTTTCATTGAAAATGACAGTTTAAAGTATCTTTTTCGTTGAGTTTACCTAAAAATTATCTCTCGATACACTTAATTTCACCAAGTTATATTTGTAAAGGATCATTGAAAGAACTTGTTTCTCAAATTTGAGAAATCTGAAGGCACCTTTCATTTACTAGATCTTGACCTTAAGGATATCCGATCCTCAGCCAGGAAAAATAACTCTTAAATTTATCATTTTATTTAAAAAGTCTCAGAATGAGGCTTAGAGACCTTTTCGTGCAATAATTTTAATTTTAATATCAATATGACTCAAGGTTCTCTGAAATCTTACAAACGGTCTTTTAAAAAGTTGACATTTGTACCCCATAAAAGAAAAAAAATTAATTAATTTTTAGAGAAATCGAATTTCGTTTAATCTAGCATTAGATACTAATGCTTATTAGCATGATGAAATTAGACATGATCTGTGATGTCTAGCAATGATAATACAAGCATTTTACACTATATGTATCATATAACAACTGAAGTAAACTGAAGAACTAAAATACTGTATAAGCATAAAAAAGATGCAATTTCCTCCAAATGCCTGGATACCTATATTTTTTTTTATCCTAAAATATATTTGTTGATCAATTTTCATTTAGAAAATGCATAGTTGGTGTTTTTATTCGCATTTCCTGAAAATATATTTGAGATTTGATAATTTTCCCTATATAATATGATTAACTATAATGAGGAACTTTGAAGAAATTCCATGGGTAAATTTACGTTACTATGTGAAATCAGAGACATTTTTGTAAGCATTTTCAATTACTTAAAAGCTGATTTTCAGAACCTGAGGATCGGACTACCTTAAATGCTAAATACCGTAACATATTTATACAACAAATTCACCATATAAACAAGTTTGGAAAAGGGAAATATTAATTAATTTTCTATGGTGGTGTGTTAGCAATTTTTTTTCTAGTGTATAACCCTCAAAAAAGTTATTTTGAAAATTGTGATTTTATTATGTAGATATGTTACAAGTAATTCTACCTGAATGGTATAAAAGGACAATCTTTTTACATGGCTACTGGAAGAAATAATCAAGAAGGAACAAGTAACAAGAAATGATATGAGGTCTATAAACAAAAATATAAAAATAACAATAAAATAGATACAGGGCTATATATAGATGACATTTATTTGTGGTGATCTCTTTCAGACATGATGATAATGAAGTTACATGTAATTCCTTGTTTACTTATTGAACTCTTTATTACGTCATATATCAGATTATTTATGTTTGTGTAATACCTCAACAGAGTTAACTGTTAGATTCATCGTTGATAATTAAAAAAAAAGGTCAATATTGAAACCCTTTAAATATAGTTTTAAAAGAATCAAAGAGATTTTTAATAATAATATAAAGCAGTTCTTTGAGGTAAACTTTAAACATCATAAGACATGGTATGTAGAGAGGAAACATTTCTGGAAGTTTTGGGCCGAGGTATAAAGACATCCTTAGATTAGACAAATAAAGAGGTTAATTAGACAATCCCTCACTATCTGGCTTTGTTGTGGTTCTGTGCACCAAAAAAAAAATTAATTCTGTCAGCATCTGATAATCTTTACAGGCCAGTGAGGATTAAAACAATTCAAGCCCCAATCAAGGTCCTTCTCCAAGTGTTCGGATCAGATAAAGTGGCATTAAAGACCACTGTATTGTCTTCTGATACAGAACCGTCATAAAACTACAGAAAACCCGTGTATAACTGTGTCAAACAGTGTCACACGTACGGAATCTCAATGTAAAGAATTAGAATATACTTTGTTGTGGATAAGAATATACTTCAGTATCATGGATAAGAATATACACCACTGTTATGGAAGATAAGAAGATGTCATAAACAGAATATGGGGTCCAGTAATTCGAAATCACCAAACTCGACTAGAACAGTTCACGAAGATGTGAGTATTTATCCTCTTTTCTTTTTTTTTTAATTATTATTATTTCGAAACATTTTCTTTGATAAGCGCGTTTAGTTTTAACACTATCAAAAAATGTTAAATTGTTAAAAATTAAATTGTCAAAAATTGTTGTCACAAAACCTTAGCTTATACTCAATTTATTTAACACCAAGTTTGACAATATATACAGTATCTTTAATCTAAATGATAGGTCTTAATTCATTTTTGTTTTCTCCACACACATCAAGTCATGGCTGCTTTTAGATATTGATGATCATTTGATTGTTGAAAAGAACTGGTCGAATTTTGATATTGGAAGAAAAGAGCAATTTTAGTAAATGCGACAAAACTTTAATGTTTAGAGTTGCTAAGATATTAATGATCATAATGAAGTGTATAATATTATCTGTTTAACACCCCAAAATATAGAATAAATTTAAGATATAAAAATCACCACCACTTCTTCCGAAATTATAAAAGTTTCTTATAATTTTTTTTTTATTTTTGAACTTAATAGTTGTAGAGGGAATAACATTTACAGGTGCTTGATTGAAATTGAAATTTGGGATATTTTTTTTTTAAAATTGTAAACAAATGTAAAGATCAAACTGATTATTTCAATGCCCTAGGGATTGATTGGAAAATTCACGAATATCATTGAAAAAGTTTCTAAAACATATGGGCTTTCTCTATTTTGTTTCCTCATTGAATACGGTTACTTTATTTTGAATAACTTCATTATTATTTAGCAAATAAGAATTAAAAATAAAATGTCGCATAATTTCAAAAATCTTAGATTTATACGTATACTAGTATCTTAAAATGCATATAAATTATTTTCCATATATATATTCAATTTCCTCAGAAATTCAGAAGTTCTAGCCAAAGAAATTAATATACACGGTTTGCCATTGCTGATAAATCTACATGTTTTAACTTTTCCAATTAAAATCATGAATGTATGTAAAATTAACTATAAGAATAATAAAATATAACAGAATAAGATTTTCCTGATTACTAGTACTACACATAAAGAACTGTGCAGTCTGGATTTGCTCCGTTATTCTTCTATGTTAAACCACTTTATTTATGTTAATCTTAGGTACATAATTCATATACACCCGAGCCGGAACCAGATATCAACATTAAAACAGATGGTGAAGATGTCTATGATGAGCCACAGCATGATTTTTTCCGCTCACAAACCAATTCAGAGTTCTATAACGTTCCTCCACCAATCACCATTCTTAAAGACGACGAAACGTCTTTTGAAACAGATCAGCACAAAGGGAAAGAAAGCGAAATTCATCTCATTACCACAGTGACAGAGGAAACTCCTGAAGTTGACGAACCGCAGGAGAATGGCATCGAGGAAGACATTATCACTGAACAAGAACCAGCGGACGAAGAAGTAATCCTGGAACAAGAACCCGAAGAGGAGGAAGTTATCTTCGAGCAAGAACCCACAGAAGTTGAGGAAGAAAACGTGGAGGACGAAATGGGACAAAACGATATCGTTGAGGAGTATAATGAAAGTCCAAATCCATACGAAGAACAGGAAGAATTTACTGAGAATATGCAATCACAAGAAGACATTCAGGGAATACCTGATGAAAACCAAGAGGAACCACACACAGAAGAGAACACAGAGGATCAAGGACCAAAGGTTGAAGAGGTGACAGAACAACCACAAGAGGTGGAAGATGAACAGCAAGCAGAGGAGAAGGAAGAGGAAGAAGAAACAGAACATCTGACGGAGAAATGGAAACCAAAGACTGCTTTAGAGGCTGTGTATGACAAACCGGGATTCGAAGACGAAGAATCGTTCCCTCTTACGCAACCTCCAAAAGTTGAAACGGTAGCTTACGTTGAGGAGGGTGATGACGATGAAGACGAGAAATTTGACATGACACTTTCTGCTGAAATGTCTGAATTCTTCGCCAAACCCTACGAAACCATGACATTTGATTTCAATCTAGCGACTGGACATTTAAAACCCATAAGAGAGTTTGTGACCAAGTGGGGGTTTTATAAAGCTGTCCCAACCCCCGATGTTCTAAAAAGAGCACAAAAGGCCGTCAGACACTTCAATATCCCAGCACCAAAGACTGAACGTGGGTATCCTCTCCCATTTCCACTGTTCTTTATGAAACCTCCGGATCTGGCACCCTTTCAAATGATCGAAAGTACTTTGAAATTGAAGGTGATACTTTATGGTTTGTTCACTAAGCTATAGACATTAAGTAATTATTCATACTTTTGTTTTGATTCAAATAAAACTTTTTTAAAAAAAAGTACATCTAATTAATTTACCTCTATTCAACAGGAATCAAAGAGTTTCGGAGCTGTAATGAAATTAATAAAGAATATGAAAAATGTGGTGCATGATGATGAAGTAAAAGTTCGAATAATCATGAAGTGGATGTCACAACATTCTCATAAAATTCCACCGCTGGGTAAGAGTGGAAAGTCCGATTTTGCAGGAAATGCCCAAGTTCACCTCTTCTACAAATTTTGCAAGTATGTAATATATTTTAAACTGAAAGGACTGATTTAATTCCTCATTTACTTCATTTGAAAGGGTATCTAACGTAATGTAATTTTATTTCCTTTCGTTATTTATCCTTCCAGAATGTTAAACATTGAATGTGCTGTCATTGAGGGTAGACGAAAGCTTTATCAAAGAGAGCCTAGTTCAAAACCAGGAAAACGAGCAGTCAGGGCCGTTTGGTGTGCTGTACTTGTAAACGGTCACTGGCAATTTGTAGACCCCAGTCTACCAGGATTGAAGGAAATGAAGAAAATGAATGATGAAAAGACTGAACCAGAATCTGAGAAATCTTGGCTGAGAACAATGCGGACAAAGATTGGTGAGTACTATAGCCTCCCAGATCCGACATTCTTCGTATATACACATCTACCAGACGTAGAATACTGGCAGTTACTGTGCAGACCTGTCCTGGAAACAGAATGGTACAACATGGTCTGTGTGTCTCCATTCTTCTTTCATTATGGATTCGACCTTCAGTCAAAGGTGACATACAACGTAAAGTGCAATGGCAATTATCTTATTTTAACCTTCACGTACCCCTCGGACAAAATGTTTATTTTCACTACCTCAATTGTTCCCAACCCTCCAAAGAATCCACCATACGTTTGTATTGAATCTGACTTTGATGGAAAATCTCTTTCAATCGAGGTGTTTGTGAGACAGAAGGGAACGTACTTTCTCCACATATACTTCAAAGATTTAGGTAGTGAATGTCGAGACTTCTTGTATTTGTGTACCTACTGTCTAGAAATTACCAAACCCAATGTGGATGCATTCGATGCTTTTTTTGTAAATGCACGTCAGCACTGGGGACCTGCAGATGACACTCTCGATGCTGGACTCATTCCTGTTACGCATGTCACAAGCGAAATCGAATGCGGTAAAGAGTTTCTGGATATTGTGTTCGATTTACAAAATGATTTAAATCTCCACTGTTCTTTAATAGACAAAGATGGTCGTGATCTTTCCCGCCATATTGCTTTCTGGGTTTATGGGAAAAAGTTCAATATCAAGGTCACATGTCCAGGATTCCAAAAATGTGCTTTGGAAATCTTCACAAAAAACGAAGACGATCGTTCATTGAGAACAATCTGTAACTATCGTGTACAATTCATCGGTAACAATAGAGAAGCTAAACCGATAATGGGATTTCCACCAAGCATGACGAAACTTGGTGTTACTGAGGCGGGTGAGCTTCTTAATTGCATGCCACTTTTCCCAAACCCTTGCGTTAGTACAATGTCTGAAGAAACTACCCTCCAGTTTACCATAGATCCGTCTGAATCAATCATTTTCCCGTCACTGAAGTATGTTTCTGATAAACTGTATAATACAGATTCTTATATGGCTTGGTTTCTAGATGATGACGGAAAATTATCAGTATCTATCAACCCTCTTAGGGATGGATTATATCTCTTGTCAGTCCAAACGAAATATAGTATAGATGTAGTGGAGAATACTATGCTTTATTTCGGGCTCATTAATGTGGAAATTCCTTCAAGTCAGTGGGCACCTTACCCAGAAAGGTCTGTAGATGTTCAGAGACAAATTAAGATACTGGAACCCAAAACTGGGTATCTCCGTGCAAAGGAGGAATACAACTTTTCATATCAGATCAAAGATGAGGCCCAAGATGTTGCTATGGTAACCAGCAATGGTTGGTGCCATCTTGAAAAGAAAGATCCGAATATATGGGAGGGTACCGCACTAACCGGACCAAAGGGGACAGATGTCACGTTGAATGTGAGGTTTGAAGTTGGATCACAAAAGTTCACTAAACTCTTGACATACAAGGTTTGTTTGATTTTCTATCAGTCTTCAAAATCATTCTGAATGTTTTTGGATATTTCGAATTGAAAAAAAAAGTTTTTATAGAAGAAGAATTAAAATAATTTCTTCATCACTCATTTTTAGGCAATTGATAAAAAAGAATACGAGGCTAGAACCAAACGACAAGAGCAGATAAGAACACAGAAGATGATGGCGTTCGCCCAAGACGATGAAAAAGTCAAACCTCCAGAAAAATTGTCTCTTATGGCGGAGAGACATAGAAAAGATGCAAAGTCAAACAACAAAAAGGGTAAACAAGGGAAAAAAGGCAATACATCACGAGACAAGAAAGCAATTGGCACAGAATCCCAAAAAGAAAATGCCATTAAAGGAAAGACTACGAATACACCTAGATCGAATCTAACAAGAGAATCACAAGGTTCTATTTCAGAGGAACCTGCAGACAAGAAAGCAATTGGTACAGAATCCCAAAAAGAAAATGCCATTAAAAGAAAGACTACGAATACACCTAGATCGAATCTAACAAGAGAATCATTAGGTTCTATTTCAGAGGAATCAGCAGCAAGAGAATCAGTTAGAAAACGGGAAACTTTAAATAAAAAAGACGATTCTGAAACACCACAAACCAGTCAAGATACCCAGAAGGAGATTAAAAAGGACCCACGACCCTACGATAACCAAAGACAGGAAAGTAATTCTGAATCTGGTGCGAAGGCGCATACGACACGAAGAGCGTTGAAAACAAATGTAAAGGAATCTGTTAAAGAGGATGTAAAGGAATCTGTTAAAGAGGATGTATCAGAGAGGAAAGATAGAGTACGGAAAACCTCGAACAAGATCACAAAACATAGATTCAGAAAATTTTCTGCCGATTCTAAATCTTCTGGTTCAGATGGGAGCAATCGGTCAATAACGAGTGAGAAACAGAAACAAACTTGCAACGATAAGCAAAGACAGGAAAGTAATTCTGAATCTGGTGCAAAGACGGATACGACACGAAGAGCGTTGAAAACAAACTCAAAGGAATCTGTTAAAGAGGATGTATCAGAGAGGAAAGATAGAGTACGGAAAACCTCGAACCAGATCACAAAATATAAATTCAGAAAATTTTCTGCAGATTCTAAATCTTCCGGTTCAGATGGGAGTAATAGGTCAACAACAAGTGAGAAACAGAAACAAACTCACAAACCTCCGAGTTCTAACGCCAAAGTATTGAGTAAAAAAATGGATATGGCCACCAGGGCCATTAAAGACTCTGTGGATAATGAGATAAAAGACAAAGAGCCATCTGTTGACGCTGAAACAGAAGAGAAAGCAATATCCGAAACCGGTAACTCACAAGACGATTTACAACTCGTTGCTATCAGCGAACCCGAAACTCTGAGTCCAGCAACGATTGCAAGACTAAAAGCCAAGAAACGAGGAATATCTAAACAAAATGGGAGGAAAATAGCAATATCCGGCCCCGCTGGTACAGTGGCCTCCCCTCGGATTTATGTCTCCTGAGGTCCATATGTGAAAGGTTTTTAAAATTTATATTGTACTCACAAAAATATTTCTAAGGATAAATGGGAATTCCACATCGAAATATTACTGGAGAATTCCCTCTTTTTAACAATTATGATAATCAGCTCTTGCCATAAAATGTGAAGAACAACAAAATATTTCACAAAATAAGATTTTATTTATATGATGAGGTGAGCTACCAGACAGATTTTGTAGCCTGTTTTCCTGAATGACAATTTTGTTTTGTCAACTTGGATATCATTGTAATCAAATTATAAAACATGTCATCTAAAAATTGTTACTGTTCTGTACTTTATGACATTGTTTGTTAGCCTTGTTAGGGGTGTTTAAAAATGTTAATACGTAAGTAATGAAATGATATTGAATGTTTACGAATTTTTAAATTGTATTGTAGAAAAGTGTAATGAATTAGCGGGATAATTGTTCGAATATATTTTGTACTGAAATATTCCATTTTTTATGAAGTTTGACTATTTTTGTATGACATTCATTTTTGATATGGTACTTGTATTCAACTCATGCTGGTTCATGAACTTGTAAACAAGTAACAAAGTGAACAAGAAAAGTTTGATATTGGAAATTCTTAAATTAGCCTTTGTTTAGCCTTTATAGATTTTATTTTGTTACAATTTTAGTTCTGTTGTGCATTAAAAATGATTAAAATCCATTTCCTTCACACATTCATAAAAAATGGCCACAGTTACATATCTATCTTCTATTCTTTCCCAGCAGTCAGAATTAGACATGAACTGAAGGTGTATAAGTCTCTGCGTGGTTGTGTAGTACATTACTGATCAGAGAGCTTTTGTAGTCTTCCCAGTCAAGTTTGTTTTGAAAATTCTCCTGCAATTTTTGTTCACGTGGGTAAGCACGTATTGACTCTCGCAGGTTATTGCGTACATTGTCATTAATGTATTTGAGGAACACTTTCTTTGAAAGCATCACTATCTCCGCTCCTTTGCTGACCTGTCAAACAAAAGTTATTATTTAACATGTTCTTATTTCTGTTAAATATTTTATTTAATATGGGAAATAATGAAATCACAGATTGCCGGCAATGTTTGTGAACTTACCATACAATAATGTAATCACAGATTACTGGCATTGTTTGTGAACTTACCATACAAGTTGCTGGAGATGCGTTAAGCATATCATCCAGGTCCTCACTACCCCACCCTGTCAGTGTATCTAAACCCTGAAAGAGACGTAACGTAGGAACCAGAATAAATAAACATTATACACTGTATATATATATATATATCCTCACTAACCCACCCTGTCAGTGTATCTAAGCCCTAAAAGAGACATAACATAGGAACCAAACTGTACATATATATAAATATACATGTATATTAGAGAGAGAGGCTCAAATGATAGATACTCACAAAGACGTCTTTACTTTGAAGAAGAGCGAGTTTTACAAACACGTTGTGATTTTTAGAAGTATCGTCTTCCTCCAATCCCTCCCTCTTTTTCGGAGGTTCTTCTTTCTTCAACATTGCAGACGTTGGCATAATCTATGATTACAATACCATTTTTTTAAGTTGGGTTTATATTGATATTTTGTCAACTGTGTGGCTGTTTCAAGACATGCAAAACATTACTTTTCTCCAATATATACTTATATAATCATACATTATGATAAAGAAATGTTATATTATAGAATTACAATTTTTTAAGCATCAAACCCCTTGCAAATTTAAAATGCATTTCTTTTTAGTATAGTTAGTAGTAAATACTTTAATTTGAAATTAAAAAGAGAAATGTTAGTTCAAGTTAATGTAAGTTAGCTTTCATCTATGTGTGCATAAACTTGAGAGTTGAATATTAAAATTAAAAGCAACGTCATGCAATACTGGAACGTTATTATAAAAGATATGGTAGAAGATGGAGTGTTAAATGAACTCAAATCACCAGCTACACTCCAAAGTCAGTATCCATAAAGACGTCAGAGGTAGAGTATTATGTGTTTCACGCAGGACAGGAAGTGGAAAGGGGGGTTATATGACCTGCGCATACGTACAAAATGTGTTTGATATCGGATATTTGGTCCTGCCATAAATCTACTTTCAGATATATCTGAAAACGGACTTCTACAACCCACAGGGGGAATGCAAAATATTTTATCCTCTGTAGTTCCATTTGGTAGATCAGATTCCTTTTTGTTGTTATTTAGAGATTCTATATCCTCCTCTATTTCCGCTTCCGGAACAGTAACAAGGTTGCTGTGGGGGTTAGAGGAGAGGGGAGGAAGATGGAGTTCCTCATCACAAAGTTTGTCAGTATCCTCTTTAGCTAATTTCTACATTCACAAATAACAAATGCCACTCAAAATCAAACAGAAGAAACCCTTTTAAACAAATCAGTCTGAATTCATTGAATCATACTCTTTTCAATCAATGCACAAAGCACCATTGTATGATGTAAAAATTCTCCTATGTGATCAATAGCAAATTTAGCAGCATTGTGACATTCAAGTAAGTCTAGAATGTGAATTTAAATATCTACATGTACACATGTAATTCTCTCTCTCTCTCTCTAATATTTTGATTTTTTTATCCTTGTATTGACGTATAAGCAGTAGTGAAGTAAATGTTACTCACCCTCCTTAAAGCTTCATAATAATTTGCCATGTCCTGGAATACATCCGTATTCATGTAAATTTTGTGTTTTCTTCTTCTTTGTCCACTGTCAACCTTGGACTCTGTGTTAATCACAAAACTGAATTAGTTTCAAATTTGATGCCTCTGAATTATATACTAGTATATTATACAAGATGGAAAAGTTGAGTCAAACCTACTCACAAAGTTTTATACAGATTAATTAGTCTAAATATGTGTAAATATATTTACTTCATGTAGAATTTCATAGAAGACAAGTTAACCAAAAACATTAAAAAGGCACTTCAGCGATGCTACCTGGTCCACCTCCTAGTTCCGGCAAGACGATTTCTGTGATCGGATCCGGTTTTCTTTTTATTTGACTAGATTTCCTTGCTTTAACACTCTTAAGTTTTTTAAGTACTTCACAGGAGCCCTACAATGAAATATTTTACAAACGATTTTAAAAAAGAATTGACAAAAAATTATAAATATACTCTTTATTATGATAAAATTAAAATGATAAATACAAACCGATTTAATGAAATATAACCATTCACTTTTCTTGCCATCGTCTGACACTAATGTACCTCTCCTACAATGTTGATGTAGATTTATATATAAACAGTCAAATTGACAATGAAACACTAACTTCAGAGCAGAATATTATACAGTTAATATAAGAAACTTACTTAAAGTAATGAAGGATACACGTGCCTGGTTCCTCTCTCAGACAATCTATCGGCCAGTTCTGCATAATGGGAACTTGCCTGCATTGTGAAAAAGAAAGATTATCAATGTAACATATTTAAATATGAATGCAATGCTCCATTTTTTTCAAAATGTTGACATTTTGATAATACTTTATCGATAAATACAGAAAGTACAGAATACATTTTGATACGATTTGTTCTTTTTCCGATCTAATAAATATTCTTATTTCCCTAAATCTAAATAAATATATTAGTAAATGACCTCCCTTGTTGGGTTGCGATTTACTAAAGGTTAATTTTCAAAGTAAATTGATTAAATCACTCTAACTGCTGCATAATGGTGTAATCTGTACATGATACCTTAAAAATTTGACGTGTTCCGATTCTTCTTCGTCGTTGTCATTCATAAAGATCCTGTTAAAGTCGTCTTTTCCTATGACTAACAGTTCCATAGACGTGGCGCTCTCCACCGTGGCTGTTCTCTTCGTGTTAAAAATTAATCCTATCTCCTGATGTCAAAACAAAAACGTTTTATACATTTTCAATGTCATATACAATGAATAATGGAAAAAGGAGAAAAAAATATACAGTTCTATTATATTTCTGAAAATTTAAATTCAAATTTTCTCATTTTTGTATGTCTAAAGTAATATGAGTAGGATTCAAGTTAGGGAATGCTAGACAAGTGAGTCCCTCAACATGAAGGTTGTTTTGGCTACATGTACTGAATGCTGACTCTTAGAACAAATGGATAATAGAAATTTGTACGGAGTTAACAAACATATCTATATGTGCCCTGTACTCTACACTATTTGTGATAATAAGAAAACAGTGAAAACATCTACACAATTGTTAATTATGAAATTAGATGGCTAGATTTTTCCCTTATATCTAGGTATATAAAAAAGTCAAAGGAAGAAAAGATTAGAAACAAAATATTTTCAACTGTTTGGAAAATTATCTACTGTTGTGAAAAGAAAACATAACACTTATTGAAGATATATCTAATAGGCTATGTTTAAGAAGTAAGATGGACAACTGTGTATTTTCTATTAAAAGTCAGTCATTATGGTCAGCTGTAGAGAATCCTCCATGTAGTCACTGTGATACCTTACCCCGTCTTCCCACGAATACTATACAGAAACATCACACAAATGTTATAAAATTAAAGATTGATAGAAGTTTTCCTTATTTTTTCAATTTCCAATTTTATTTCTATGCATTCCAAAATAATATAGAAAAATCTTGTAATAATGGTCCCGTGACCAGGATCATCTTACCCCAAAACTCATCCCTCTTGTAAGGCGAGCAACGGTATTCAGTCTTGTTTCACCCGTCTTTGGGTCTGTCATCATCTTTTTGACGAAAGCTTCATTACAAAAAAAATAATGGATAAGTAAAAACAGTTTGTTTTTTTTTATTTTTCTCACTAATTTTCAAAAAAAAAGAAAGATTTTATTTCCGGATGAAGATTCACCTGTTCCAGCCAGTATAAAGTAAAACGATTCTGCGTCGTGACCTTGGCGAACTATTGCTTTCTTTGGACCAAGACTAAAAATAAAAGTCGGTGAAGCGAATTAATCTAAGCGGATAAAGCTAATCCAAGTTACTGATCCAAGAGACACAAACAAACCCATTCCAAAACCGAGGTTAAAAGCAAATAAATGTTGGTACACGTGTTTTTGTTTTTGCTGGAAAAAAATCAATGTTCGAATATTTAGAGAGGTTAAGCAGATGACCGTGTACGTCTACGTGTACGTGTAGCTAGGGAAATCCCCTAATTAACTGCGATTTACGTCATCAGTTTTGCATAGCCCGTAATTCTACAAGTTGTTCACAACGTGTAGATTCATATGTTTACGTAGGAAAGAACGTGTAGCTTCTTAAACACAAATTATAGAATATATATTTTTCAAGCGGTGTTTGTTGTGATGTTGAGAGTTTAACACCATTCTTTGTAAGCACCAAAAAATTTACTATAGGGCTTGGAAACGACATGTCTCGGATTTTGATGAAATTTGCACCACAGATGTGTCTTGGTACAAAACTAGCAAATATGGTGTCGGAAGTTCCACACGTGCACTTGGTTGCCATGGAGACGGATCCATTGAATTTGGCCATTTTTGGCCCTTTTTGACCAAATGAAAACATGAAAATTAAGGAAATGTAAACGGATATTTATCGGTATCTACTACACTCAAACTAAAATCATTGGATCATATGATAACTTGAACTTTTAAGGTGCACAAGGCATATAATCATTTATTCTAGAAATATTCCCAATCTAATAAAAAGGTCATGCAAACTGACATGGTTTCTGAAAATTTGAAAAATGGGGAATTTAGCATTTTTTGAGATCTTTAAGGCTAAATAAGAAAAATTGTCAGTGGAAAATTTCCAAATCTTATGTGTGTTTTTGTACTTGAGAACTAGTCGTGTCATCTCATGAAAAAATATCGGTGGGCATTTACTCCTATTTTTAGTAACATGTATCTATAAATAGATATATTTTAGAAAAATGTAAAAAATCAAATTTTGGCAAAGTTTAGATGTCAATGCTGGATAATTAGGAAGTATATTGTAAATATTAAGATGTTAATGACAGTAGCTAGACACAACTAGCTGGAGTGAAAAATGGTTGAGGGGGATTCCCATTTCTATTTATAGTATCAAGCACCTAAATATAGATTTGTCTCTGAATATTAAGAAAAATGACAGTTTTATGCTAATTGGAAGCTTCATAGAAAAAGTCTTAACAAATATTAAGCTTTTTACAATATGCCTTCAAAAAGAACATGTGTTTGTACAATAATTGATACAATATTGAGGATCAACTCTTGTTTCTTTTTATAACAACAATGGTCTAAAAATAGATTCCTCGAATTATCGAGAAACTGTAGATTCTTGCACTTTTTCAGGCAATGATGGATGGAAAGGATGCAGACTAACTGTTATAAACCTAGTGTGATTGACAAGTACTAGAAATCATTTACAGAAATATACACTATGTGAAGGGGGTTCCCTTTTCTATTTATAGCACAAACACCTATAAATAGAAACATATGACAATTTTGCCTTGTGCACCTTAAAAGTTCAAGTTATCATGTGATCCAATGATTTTAGTTTGAGTGTAGTAGATACCGATAAATATCCATTTACATTTCCTTAATTTTCATGTTTTCATTTGGTCAAAAAGGGCCAAAAATGGCCAAATTAAATGGATCCGTCTCCATGGCAACCAAGTGCACGTGTGGAACTTCCGACACCATATTTGCTAGTTTTGTACCAAGACACATCTGTGGTGCAAATTTCATCAAAATCCGAAACATGTCGTTTCCAAGATTTTTTGGTGCTTACAGAGAATGCGTGTTAATATGTTGACGGTGCAACCGTTGGGGCGAGCACATTGTTCACTTCATTTTAAGATCCGCCTCTTCAAACCGCACGAGACATTTGGAACGTCTAAACTGTGACGTCACATGACGTCGTATGTTAGCTGCATTTCCATAAACAAAGTTTAAAAAGTGCAAATATTTTAACAAAGAACGTTTAATCTACTATCTGCATGCAATAGCCATTAAATTAAGGTGAGTTTATTTTTTGTGAAATTTTAGTTGTTGTCACCGCGTGAGCGAAGTTAGCAGCGAGAACAAGAAGCGATGCATTGTGGGTCAGAATTACTGCGGAAAAAAATTCTATTGAATGAATGTGCAGTAGTCCGAATTTTCTCTTCGCCCAGGCGTTGTCGTTAGAGCTCGCAGTGACGAGCGGCGCTTCGCGCCGCTCGCTATTACGTACATCTATGTATCTTTTTTAATCAAAGTCATAGAATTATTTGATACAAATGGCTGATTGTAAAGTGACTTGTTGAAATGACGTTTTAAACGTACCGCTACATACAGATTGTTAAACAGAACACGATGTTATTTACGCTTGTAAAAACACTTCTAGGTTTACACTAGTCCGAAATATCTTACGTTTTCCAGACTCCCCCCCCCCCCCCCCCCCCCCACGATTTTGATATTTTCCGTGCAGGAAAACGTCAGAACCGGCGCCATTACGAAAACTGGAAATTTTACCGTCTCCGACCGGAGCTGATTTTCGATACTTGCAAACTGAATTAAATGCCGAACTTACAATTTATCAGTAGCGCAATGCTTCTAGTACTCACCAATATCGATGAAAAGAAAATATCACTTCACATTTCGATACAGGTCTTGCAAGATTTAAAAATACAAGAAATGAAAAGAAAACTCTTTGGTCTGATAAAATGTTTTCACCAGACTGTGTATTTCATAAACAAACCATAAAAACGATGTTGGTGAGTACTAAAGGCATTGTACTTTTAATAAGTTGTGAATTCAGCATTTGATTCGGTTCGCAAGTATCGAAAATCAATCCGAGAATGCTGCCTCCAGTTGGAGGCGGCGAATTTCCAGTTGTCGTAATGGCGCCGGTTCTGACGTTTTCTTGGCACGTAAAATATCAAAATCGTGAGAAAAAGCCCGGAAAAAGTCAGATATTTCGGAATAGATTTACACGTACACGTATAGACGCACACGGTCAAATGCTTAACCTCTCTATTAATAACTCAAAATCTTCAAAAAAAAAGACAATAACATTATTTTTATTCAGTGTTCTTCAGATGTAAATAAACTTCAGCTGTTAAATCATTGTTTATGAATGTGTGTACACGTGATATTCCATCAATTCCATTTACTTATAGCTACCCATAAACAAAGGATAATGGTGGTCTGGTACCTTCATTTATTAGAAAAGTTTAGGTATGCTGACAACTATCTCGAGATGGTTATGGTAAGTCGAAACTTCAGATTTAAACTTTAAATGTAACAATTGTTTGATAATTTCCTGGGGAAATCTAACTTAGATGTACGTGTCCTTGTGTACTTTCTATTTACTTCGGGAAGGGAGGAGGGGGACTTACGTTTGGTACCAGGCGACCTGGCAGAGCTTTTCCTGTGTCACAAGGGGATACTCGGAAAGGGAACGTAAAGCCTGGAGCCCGTGCATTACCTACAACCAAAACAAATGCATTAAAGTACTTGCAAAATGGTAAAACGTGCTGAACAATCGCCATGACCTTGTGAAGCATCTGAAATGTCATTTACAGATTATGGTTATGTAATTTGTTAAGTGTCGAATATTAAAAAAAATTTAAATTATCAAACTAAAATACCTGTTTGATCATTTCAGGAGTGCGGAAATTCCATCGGGTAGTTAAGGTTTTCCTGTGATCCTGAGTTAATGATATCTAATATACAAGAGAACAAGTATATAAATGCATGTTTTAAATACCTTTATGAAGAAATAGGAAATAAAAATTTCTGGTGATAAATTGTTTTAATGTTAAACATTTGTTTTCTCGAACTGTGAGTGCTCAAAGTTCTTTTTGTAGCTAAAAATGTCTAGGCTTATTGATAGATTGTTATTCTTTTACGTCCCTTGAGAGAATTAATTTTTCACTCATATGGAGATGTCACCATACCGATGGAGGGTTTTAAATTTAGTCCTTTACTCGGCACTTAGGGCCATCGAGCAATGAGTGCTCTTTATCGTGCCAACGCCTACCGTGACACGGGACTTCGGTTTTTAGGGTCTCACCCGAAAGACTCGTGACTTTTACTTTTAGTGCAGAGCGTTAGGCGATCGGAACAGCAGTCGCTATCCATGTTGACGTCTTAGGTTTGATGCGGCGCCGGGGACGAGAATCAAACCCGCTACCTCCCGATCACGAAGCGAGCGGCCCTTCTACTAGCTACCGCGACTGGTGTACATGTACCTTGGCTTATACGGCGAAGAAATTTATACCCTCAAGACTTACTGAATAAACAATAGAATTAATCATTTAAATCACGACCTTGTATTGAATCCATAAATTGACTTCGCTGTTTACGTTCATTTCAACGAGACATTTTATTCATTTGCGCAAGTGTTAACCCTCTTAAACAGTTTAACGACAATTTGGGAATTTTCTAATATAATACTGGTTGGATTTTGGCTTTTAGTTTCTAATCACTGAAGTCACTCCAAGATAATTTATTTCAAATCAGCAGATTAGGAAGACTCAAAGACGTCACTCAGTTTCATTTTGTTTATCAGATTACTTTTATGTCTCATTTTTCTCTGCCAAATACAATAAATTGGTCGAATGTTTTGTTGAAATATGATCAAGAAAATGCGGATTATATCATACACATTTAACAAATTCGTCTTTGAAAGTTAAATAGGCTAGTAATTTTCGTTAACGCCAATTTTCGTTGTTTATGCTTGCGCTTTACCCCGAAATGAGGTTATCAAAGAACAGAGTTCTCCTTCATTTCAAATTTAACTTACGCGAAGGGCTAATATTCGCGCTCATTTCGCGACCGAATTCGCGAAGGAACCACGAAATAAATTGAAAAACACACAACCCCAATGAATCAATAGATTAATATACAAATGATTTTTATTACTTGGAAGATTATATACTGTTCATTAGAGGACGGAGGATATTCTGGTAAGTCACACAATCACGCTAACATCTATATAATTTTGCAATTTTCTGAAATATCTTAAAATTTGTGAATAAAAAAAAATACTTAAGCAGTTTAGAGTCATAAAATTATATTTTGGTGGATCTATCGTTAATTTTTCAACATTGCAAAAATACATGATTGCGATATACGTGCGATGTTTGACACGCAGTGCCAATGCAATTTTGGAGATGTGGTTATCTGTAAAGATTTATTAAAACATGAATAAATTAATATTAAAAATTTCATTTGCAATTAACGTGAAATATGTGGAAAAAATGCCTTGTCTCTTTTCATTCAAGTGTCCAGCGAGGTCTAGAAGATAATTGTTTGTGCAAGCCAAACAATGAGCCCTAATTAGAGTAAATTAGAGTAAATTAACGGTTTAGCATTAAAAACTGAAAAACGGTACATAATTTGGAGGTTCATTTGGTTTATAAATTTATTATAAATAGATTATGTTTTTGTTGTCAAATGGAGGTTGAAGATGAGTACCATTTTATATTAAAATGCTCACTTTATCATGAGTACAGGAAATTGTATATTAAAAAGTATTATTGGTATAGACCTAGTATGTATAAACTTTTACAATTATTATCAACTGAAAATGTGAGTGAACTAAGTAATATAGGGAAATTCCTCCAAAAAGCAGAAGCACTAAGAGATTTACATCTGTAAACTAAGGATTTTTTTTAATGTTTGGTTGGAAATATTGTATACAAACAATCGTATGTTAAAACAAGTATATGTAGATATTTTATGTATGTATATTTCTTCCGTGCTATACATCCTGTATTTGTAATGTTGTAATCTGATAAGCCATATGGCTTAAGGAATAAATAAACAAACATAAATTTATATATTTATCTTACTGACGACGGCAATCTTACAGTGGCGCTAATATTTTAACTGTGGCGGAACTATGGCGCTGATTTTTTAACTGTGGCGCTAAGGAATTTAACTGTGGCGGGGCCGCCACGTTAAACGGCGGCGAGCCCATGGAGAACCCTGAAGATCGAATTACAAATTTTACTGAATATAACAGAGTTTGACGAGGCAACTGTCCAGGAATTTACTTATCAACAAAATTGCCAAAACCACGAAATTTGATCCCAACGAAATTTGACAAAACCAGATTAACAGATTTACCTGTAAATCATCGTAAACTGTAAAGATTTTGATGTTATGTACATTAATAGCATTGATTTGTTGATTTAAGAGTTCGGGGTAGGTGTAACTCACCTCCTTTCTAGCCACAAAGTAATTTTTATCAAATGACAGTCCGTACTCGTCCATGGTCCTGGACACGTTTTCACAAGAAACCTCGTTGGCGATGTCAACAAAGGATTTCAGCTCTCTCTCCAGCTTATTACCCTCGCTAGAACTATCAGATAAAATATACGCAATACAAATGTACATCTATTTCAAATTCAGACAAGTGACTCAAGGAAAATATAAATAAATTAAACAGATTAAACTTACTCCATAATGAGTTCAATCCATTTAAGTATGATGAGAACAATTCTGGCATATCGACGAAAGAACTGCAGCGCCTAAAATTTCAGAGATTTGTTTTTTAAAGATTACTTTTTTTACAAATTGCAGCACTTCTTTGACATAATTTGATGCATGCACTACCAAAATGGGACTTTAAATATACTTGAAAGGTCAACCAATTCAGACATGGGGAAAAACAGCAAACTAAATTACCTCTCCTGGTTTCATGAACTTGGGATCTCTGTTTGATTCGTCCTCTACGTCAAAACGTTGTAGAGCGTAGATATGGGTGGATCCACTAGCCTCAGTGGAGGATCCTTGGACAATATTCCGATACCGCCGCTCTATGTGTTGTACATTGCTGCGCAATGTGGCAACTCGCGAAAAATGGTCTTTGGGTAAATCTAGCTTTCTTTCTATTCTCTGTCTCATCTTGTTAATGGCAACCTTCCTGGTGAACACAGCCATGGCGTGGTCCTCTATACTATTAGTTTTCTGAGCCTTCATTTTGAACAATTGTGCGGAAGCCAACTGCCAAAGACCTGACTCTTCCATACTTTTTCGCCGTGAATCGGCCACCAGTTTCTTTTCCTCCTCCGTAACCTTTGAATGATGAGGGTCTGCGAAGGATGGATTTTGCATAAAGACTTCCTGTAACGTATCCAGTTTGTTACGACTGTTGGATAGCGGATGCACATTCACATTCTGTGTCGTGTGAAGCCGTTTTTTGACCAAATTTTCACGGACATTTCGACGTAACAAATTATCCTCGTATATGTCTTTGGGTCTGACACTGTCAAAGAGGTCTGGCATCGTGTAAGATTTGGTCAGGTTGACAGACGACATTCGCCTGAGGAAGGCATGGTGTTGACTTCGTTGGGGGTCTGTCGACATCATCTGTTTATCAAAATCCAGGAATGTTGCTGACCGGCTTAAAGACAATGTGTCTTCTGAGCTATCATCCAGTCCTTTGTCCCTCAACAGAATTCCACCAGGATCGGATTTCAAAGACTTCAACGGTTTTCTCTTCCGAGGGGACACAACCCTGGTGTTTAGTCTGATTCTTGCCAATTTATCCTCGGGGACTGGATTTAAGTCTTTCATTGTCCTTTTCAACACTAAAAACTAAAAAGTATACAAAGGATCAAATTTAAAACATGTCGTTTTGTTGGATGAATTTCAGTTTTTGACAATAATGGATAAATGGTGTCATTTTATTATTGCACACCATTAGAACCATCAATCGTTCCATCTGTGACTGATTTAAATTAATATCAGAAATTCAATTTCAGGGGTATTATTCCACTATATGTAATTAAATTAAATCGAATTCTATCTACATTCACGACTAATAATAATATCAGTGGGGTCGATATATTGTGTTTGTAAAACGCTGTAGCACGCCTCTAACAGTTGTTATACGGTCTAGGAACCTTGGCAGAAGGCGGGCAGCAAATACGCGTTCTGTTCAAATGGTGAAAAAGTTGCTAACTGCAAAATCGAACCGCTATTGATAAGACTTGAATAGAAATATGAGAAAAAAAGTTGAACTTTGGAACGCAAAATTTCGCGAGTGTTTCCGTTACACAATCAACAATCCACTCATACTTTGTTACCATTATGTTTAACTAATCTAATAGCACAGTACATGTACAGTACGTGACAGTTATTAGAAGCATCGCTTTTTAAGATCTAGTATCTACTAATAATTTTTCAAGATATTCTAGATTTAAACTCATTATACTACCAGATAAATCAGCATTCATTACCAGGGGTTTTGAAAAAGATAACAAATGATGAAAATCATTGTTTTCAATGAAAATTGTACAAAACTGATCAAATACACACATAGTTTTGGTTGACATTTCCTCAGAATTTGTTTTAGTGGTGGTATACATCATAAGAGTCACACACAAGTCCTTAACTTTTTAAAATTATTTAATTACAGGAAATATGATTTCCTGGGTGTTTTGAAATGAAATACAACTTACATGCCTTTTCATTTTAAAGCAATATTTAATTGTTCTACTTAATTTAAAAGAAACGAAATTTGTTTAAAAGACTGTTTGAAACTTATTTCTGTTAGAACCTTCTTACAAAAACTCAAACAGATGCTTCTAAACACAGTCCTGCAGTATGAGTAACAATGGGTTTGTTACCTTGCTTTACAAGAAGTGTTTATTTCTCAAACTATATTAATTCATCCAGAGGACTACATTTCAATGCTTCTCGACTTTAATTTATAGTGAAAAATGACAGAACTACAGTAATAGAAGGACCGTGTAAATCTAAACGATTAGTATGTGTTCTGAAATCATCATCCAGATTCGAGGGTTATAATTTTACATTGAAAATATTCCGGGGTTGAGTTTCTTTCTTTTTATTTTCCTTGGAAGGGGGGGGGGGGTGAGATAATAATCGATTGGGAGAATTTTCTTATATATTAACACCGATGTGTGATTACTTTAATTATTCAGTTCGACTTTTATCGGTGTAGGTTTCAAGCTTATACTTTTTGTTACATTAATTTTTACGCAGAAATACCTGTAAGAGAGTTGTTTTTTTTATTTTTTATTATTTTTATTTTATTTATTTTATTTTATTTTTTTTTTTTTGCAGAAAATATATATGTAAAATGGCAATTCCTCTCAACTGTAAATGTTGTTTATATATTTTTGAGAATTATATGCCATTTATTTTAAATATTACCATTTATCTGAATATTTTCGAAAGAAGCTAATACATGCAAAATATCCATGATTTTTTTTTAATACTTTTGGTTCAAGCAGTGTATGGATTTACGTATTTTTTAAAAATAATAATTGAAGTGTTATATAAATTTGAAAAAAGCGCTATCAGAGTGTGAAACAGGTACTTTGATTAGGGTGTCATATCCCGATCAGGATAAAATACCCCGATAAGGATTTATTCCCATACGATCTGCAAATAGCCCTGATAGTCAAGCTCAAAACACATTTTCATGTCATCAACAAAAATTGAAATTTGCCAATTTTGTCAAAAATAATTATTCCAGTAAAATTGGTGAATATTAATCCATACATTTACATACATAACTTTGTTAAATTATTGGCTGATAAATAACACCCTCTTATTCCCAGAACAAAACATCAAAAGTTTTTATAAAATAAAGGTTACATAACTTTGCAGAACAGCTGCAGAAGGGAATCTAAAAGACAACTTTTACTAGCCAACGATTTCTGATCCGCCCCTCCTAAGACTGTGTAGAGGGGGGGGGGATCAAAAATGCTAAGCCAGAAATGTACGCTTCTGGACAGAATTATTTAGAATAATCGTTCACTTAAAAAAATTACGAAGAGTTTCGGGTCAAATCGAATATTTAAGAATTCTCCTGCATTATACCTGATTCGTCAGAAAACTACACTTTGGGTCAATAAGAAAAATGTATCTTACCTATTACCGTAGAAATAAGTTCATTCCTTTACGAAGAAAATATCCAGATTGGATCCAAAATGCTTAAAATGAAAACACATGTAAATCCTTTGTTTCATAATTCATTTCATAACCTTTTAAAGTAATAGCCTTTTCTATTTTTTAACATCTTATCACTTAAGTTAGATATAGGAATGTCGCTATCACTAAGAGTACTTGTCCACTGATTGCACAGAAACCTTGTTAAATCAGGGGACCAATTCCAGACCAGTTTCTGAGTTGGGCGTCCGATCGGTTCCAACGATTCTGATAAATAGTCGTAAGTGGTTAAACCCCCTTAATCCTCCCTTCATGGATTACTATTAATCCGGTGTTAATCCACAAAAGCACATGGTACAGAGTTCTGTTGCGTTTGGGGTATCAATACACCAATACCAATCATCTTAATCCAAGGCCAATTAGCAACCCATAATGAAAACGTGAATATAGCGAACATAAAACAAATGTTTACATGAATGGTTCAATTCTCCGAGGGGTTCTAAACTAACATGCACTCTTTAATTGACGACTGAAGTATATAACTAAAAAAATATTGACATATGGTGCGTTTTTCCTTTCAAGTCTGCATGTTCAAAACTAGACTTGGTCAGACGGTAATTTCAAGGATGATTTTTATCTTAAAGGTAGAATTTAACTTTCAATGGCAAATACTTGTATTACATTTAAAATACAAATAAAGAATCATTTAATTGATCATTAACAAGCAGGGAATATCGTTTATATTCATTTCATTTTTAAATCGCGACCAAATTTGAGGATCATCGAACGATCAAGTATGCGTCTCTTGAATCGTCAATTCTTCTGATCAACAATAACCAACATGTACAGTAAGCGAATAAAGAAACTGTTGAAATACGAGAAATCACTCAAAAAGATAATTAACTGTAGAACGTTGTGTATTTTTTGAACGACAATTTAGAATAATTGTCCATAAGAAAATGTTGAGATGGTATAATTTCATTTATATCTTAAAGATTCTTGTTACACTAAAAGGAACAAGCAGTAACATATCTGTTAATCACTTAGATAACACATATTTATGATCGGTATTGACAGAGCTCTTATGGCAATTGAAATTTAAGTCTCAAATCAAAAAATCGATATCAACAATAAAACAGCTGAGGGTTACTTCGGAAAATATAGCTATGTGTCTCGTAACACAATAGATTTTATGAACAACGGTGTCAGATCGATATAAGTGTGTCCGGATCGACTCGGATCATGGTCTCAGGGTAGCACAAGTGCTGAGAGAGGAAAGTGATAGTAATTGCTTGGAGAGGTTTAACTGACTTCCACTTGTTTTAGTATCCAAGTAACTATTGTCTGTTTCCCAGGATATCAATTGTCTCCTCACGTTTCATTGACATAAAATGTAAAAATACAAGTTCTAGGTGAGAGTTTTAAGGATTAACTCGATTATTTTCCCCTATCAAAATGCCTTATTATTTATTAATAACAAAATTTTCAGTTATGATTTAAACTTTATGTCTGGGTTCTTGATAACGCTCATTAATTATCCCTTATCATTCGCCGATCTTATCTGAATTTCTGTTGCACATATTGGAAATCAAAGTGAAATTGCTGTTTAGAACACATAAAAAGGCAATGCTTAAAATTAATCACAAATCATAACCGTTATAACTAGGGCAGAGCCAGTTTTAACACATTTAGTCAGAAAGGCATAAACCTTTTAACAATATTTGACACTGGAAACTTCTTTCTGATGTGAAAGTGTCAGGAAATGACTAACTACCTGTGCCACATCAAAACTTTTTTTTATTGTAAAAGGTGGACCAACTACTGAGAAAATAAAATTGACACCGATATTCATAATCAACTTAGAATTTTTTTCCTTTAATACAAGATTAATTTGTTTTGTATTAATCCTTCATCAAAACTGACATGGAAATAAAAATATCCTTATTAGCATGATTGGACTCCTTAATCAGTTAATGATCATTAAACGGTTATTGACCCTGGATTTGTAACCTGGCTTAATTGGAGAGGAAGGGTGTGTCCAGCACATATCTAACATGGGAGTTGCTGATAGAAAAGCAAATGCATTTCCTTAAATTTGTTTTCATATTTTACCCAAAATTTGTTGTTTTTTTTTCATATTGCAAACCAAGTACTCTTTCTAGGGTGTAAGTAATGGGCGCTTATTACATTTCCGCAAATTTTGAAAAATTTCGTTACGTTTCTTGTTAAAGTCCGCAAAATAATATATAACTGTTATTGCACCTAACAATTACGTTTCGCATTACACATATGGTCCCTGACTGCACCACTAACAATACGCAAGAATGACAAAGAACAAACTTGACTTTCTGTATAAAGAATATGTAAAATATACGAAACGCGTTACATTCCAGGGTTATACAATACAGATGGAAAATTATACAATGCAAATGGAAAAGATCGAATATTGGAACAGTTGACATGCCCTACGACGGAGTTTTTTTTTTTATTAGTATGCCCGAGTGCTTTTGTAATTTTATCATAATGCAATATTTTACTGTACATGTATATTATTTTACTAACATGGCCTTGCGGACACGGAGAACAAAATTACGTAAAATTTGATCCAGATAAGATTTATAAAAAATGTTTTTTAAATAGTTCAAAGTCAATATTCGCCTGTTGTGCTCCACCATCCCGGAGCATAATTTGAACAATTTAGAATCAACATTATAATTTTTAAAAAGCTTTTACGTACATTTAATCAGAGACATTTTTATATGTCTCTGATTTAATTCAATGTAAAACTTTAACCCCTACTGTAACCTCACCCTATCAAGGGGGGGGGGGGGGGGGCATGATTAAAAACTATACAAAATCAACACAACTTCATGTTAGAAAGGTTTCAAATAAGTTTCATCTTTTCTGGTGCAGTAGTTCATAATCTAAAACTCCCCCACCATAGCACCACCCTACCATGGGGGCCATGATTTGAACAATTTAGAATTCACACTACTTTGGGAGCTTTCACATGTTTCATTTTTTTCTGATCCAGTGGTTCATGAAATTTCTGAAGATTTTCCTGTATATTTCAATGTAAAACTTTGATCCCTTCTTGTGGCCTCACCCTACCCCAGAAAGCTTTCATATAAGTTTTATCTTTTCTGGCCTGGTGGCTCTTGAGAAAAACTGTTTTGAATGACCCACCTTATTTTTGTCTTTTCTAAATTATCTCCCCTTAGAAAAGGGCTTGGTTCTTTATTTGAACAATTTAGAATCTCCTTTATCCAAGGATGCTTTGTGCCAGCTTTAATTAAAATTGGGTTAATGTTTTTTTGAGAAGAAATCAAAAATATGAAAACTTTACAGACAGACAGATGGATGGACAATGAACAACAAGTATCAGGGAAGCCTTCAGTTCAGGTGAGTTAAAAAAAAATTTAAAAAGATATCCATATCTTTGTTTTATCATTTTCTCCATCAAACCATTAACAATTCTTCCTTATCCTATGATCACATCTTCATGACCATCAAATTTCATTGAAATCCATTAAAACTTTTAAGATGCACTGTATACAGACAGATTCAAAAATACAGGTGAGAATGTAATCTCCCTCTAACCTTAAAGTTAAATAATAACATTAGAATAAGTTTATAGCTTTTATTGCTGAGATTATTAAGTGACTGTCTCCATCAGATTTGTCATAAAGTCCTCATCAGACGAGTCTAAATCATTATCCTGGTCCATCTCGCTATCACTGATCTCCTCCTCATCGGTGTGGGGGGACCGCTTACGTTTACACTCGGACAATGCCAGTAAGTAGTCTATACTATACTTGTTGTGGTCACAACTAAAATAAAGAAAAACATCAGCATTCAATTAAAAGTTTAACACAACAGTAAATTAAACACCATATTTAAGACATAATATAACTACTGGCTTGTGACAAGATATTGAACACTTTCTCTGCTTTGAATATGAAGAAAAATATCTTAAATTCTTGATTTATAAAAATCCCATTTATTTTGAATGCTGTTTCAAATAATTTCTATACTGAAAGCACAGTTGAAAATTGAGTGATTTACTTCCATGGTAATCTCTACATTTACTCGAGCAGTACTATATCTTTGACACTTATGTATAAGGGAATCTTTGAACTTATGTATAAGGGAATATTTTTCTTAAAAATTGTCAAAACATGCAAATTTCTTACTGTAAAACTAAATTAGCAATTCTAAATATGCAAAATGAATTTGTTAATTAAATTCAAGGTTAAGAAAAATATCCATGTAGACTTATGTACTGTAACTTTAACTTGTGTTTTAAATCTCTAAGGCAGCATGTGCCATGTATCTATCTAATTAAATACAAGTACCCATTGCAGATGTTTAAAAATAACTGTTTTATCTTAATGAACAATTTAAATGTCCACTGAAATCATTTTTTTTAAATAAATCATGTACTGATTTACTGACCAAAAACAAAAAAAAAAATTACACTCTGGTCAGAAAAGATTAAATCCCAAAGTTGACAGTGATCTGGATTAAGGGAGATAATTCATATAATCCATGTGAAATGTATGGCATATAGCTGTCAAATGACACAAATGGCTATAGAAAAAGTTAATGACAATTAATCAAACAAAATGCAATAAATATTTGAACATTGTCAGTGGCTAACAATTTTTTTTGCTTGATTAAGCATCATCAGATGTACCTGTAATTGGTACATTGTACTGAAGGCAAAAGTAATGAAGAATACAACTTTCTGCAATAAGCACTTTTTTCTCTAAAAGATGCAAGTATTGGTTTTTCTTCAATACCAACATGGAAATTATGTCAACCATAATTTTTTCATGATAAACAATTACTTTCAATTGACACAACATTTCTGATATTTAATGTTCATGGAAACATCCAATGCATGACCCATATAATCTATACTGTATAGTGTACATCAAGTACATGTACTCATGACATTATCATAACTGCTGCTAACATGTCATTAAATAAGCCAGGTCATAAAAGTAAGAATATTAAAAAGCATAAAAATAAAAAGTGGTTTGATTCAGACTTGCAAACAATGCGCCGTAGATTGATTGCACATGGAAAAATTTATAGCATATTTCCAAAGGATCCAGTTGTTAAAGAATCATTAGATGCATGGTTGGTGAAAAACTAGCCAGCGTTGTTTGTCCCTTTCTATGGAATGAATGTAGATTGGTATAAAGGTATTTAATAATACAGAGATTCTACCTTGCGTATAAATTTACAAACAGTAGATTGAAGTTCAATATGGGTGAAAGTGTTAAATCTATAAACATTAACGATATCGAGGACAGAGATGGCGCCAAAATCAAAATGGCGGGGGTGAGAAGTTTACCTTTTAAAGTTAATGTAGATGAGGTGGACTTGTCTGTGAGAAGTATATATAAGGAATACCCACAACAGTGCTTACCTGACAATTTTAAAAATCCATCAGGAACTAAAGCAAAGAAACTTGAATATGAAAAGATAGACACTTTGTTATATGAAACGTCAGCGCACATGGTGGCGTTTCGGATAACGAGGGAGAGATTGGAAGCATGGATAAGAGCTCTGGGTGTATTGCATTATGAACATTATGGAAAGATGGAAGGATCATACTTAGTAGACTGGTATGACGAACCAAATGAATGGCTTGACGAAGGTAACAAATCAATCTGCATTGGATTGTTAAAAGAACCATATTTACTGTACAAAGTTACTTTGTTAACACTGGAGTAATCCAAGCACAAGGGTTACAACATGAGATCTTTGCATGCATGATTTCCCAATGCTTCTTTCCCTGGTTAATGCTATTTGTGACTATGAAAGATCTACTAGAGCTGTTCACAATGAGGTAGCTGATGATGTGTTTGAGGACACTGATGATGAAACCTTATGAAAAACAACAAATGAAGCTATGTCAAAGGACGAAATGGAAGAAACAGGTTTGTCATCCTCAGATAATACTGAAACTCCCCAAGTTACAAACAAGGATTTCAAAAAATTACAGAAAATTTTTGCTGAATCGTTATCCAAGTTGACTGAAACACAAACAACTCTAGTATCGAGGGTGGAGAAAAATCTGTCTGATTCATTACAGAAAGTGACCAGAACTGTAAACAATTTGCAGACCCAGTTCAATACAATGAAATCTTTGAAGGATAAGCAGACCAATGACACAAACTCAGATAAACTTCAGTCTCATATAGCTGATATTGAAAAACAATTATATCAGACACGCACAGATAAATACAACTTAACAGTAGAAAATGCAAGATTGGAATCCCTGCTGAAAGCAGAAAGAGCAAGAAACAACACCATGGATGAGACATTGAGAAGAGAAGTCAAGAATTTGAAATACGACAATGAACACTTGTCTGAAAAACTTAACACAAAAAATGAGGAAAATGATCAACTCATGGATGAAAATAAATCACTAAGAAAAAATGTTGATAACCAGTTCAATGAAATTTTGTCCCTTAAATCTCAGCTCTCTAGCATGTTCATGAGTGGTGGAAAGGACACTGAAACCAGCAGGGCAAAAGAGATGACAGACCTGGTAGTCAATGCTGGGAAGAATAAAAAACCAATGGTCCTGTTAATAGGTACTTCTAACATGAATGGCATAAAAGAGGATAAACTTACATCAGACATAAACGTTACTAAAGTAACAGCTTTTACTCTGGATGAAACAAAGAATGTTATCATTAACTCTTCGTGCATACCTGATGTAGTAGTTCTTCACTCTCTAACAAATGATGTTAGAAATATTAGTCCTGAAAAATGTGCCGAGAAACTACAAGGGGTGGTCGAGGTTATTAAACAGAAGTGGAAAGACGTTCACACCATCATATCTCTAACCAAACCAAGAGAAGACAACTCCTTGCACAAGGTAAACTGTGAGATCCTGGATGGGATAATAAAGAGAGACTACATGGAGTATCATGGAGTTCATATTTCTGACAACGAAAACATGTGGCATGGACATCTACCTACAATTGAACTACTGAATCCCAATGACAAATTTCACCTGTCTCCGAAGGGAACATCCATATTAGCGTCCAACATGAAGAGAGCAATGCACACCGTATTAACCCTTTGTGTGCTGACTTGTTTTAAGTGAATGGTAGCCTCAGTACTGAGTTGTTTTGGAATATTGACAAAATTGTCACATTGGCTTACTTGAATGCAAATATTTTAAAATTTTGACAACCAATTTGCATGAAATTTGGCAAATATGAATCAAATACTGTGTTTTTTGAATTGATAAAGTTTTTTCCTAAAAATTCTTATATTTGACGTTGCCTTGGTAACAAAATTTTCAAAAATATACAAAAACAATGATTCTCGAGTTTTTTTAACTTATAATGTTTTCAGAAAAAAATGTTGCTTCGATAAAAAAATAAATCATTTGCTTCAAAAACTGAATTTTAAATTTAATATTATATATATATAAAAATTAGTCAATAATTCAATGTCATAAATATGTTGTGGAAAGTCATATTGTATACTTATCTGAATAAGGAATATGTTTAAGTGAATACTGAATAACACATAATACAACGTTTTCAGTTTATATCCAAAAAGGACATATTTATAAAATTCCAGTTAGCCTGTAAATCCAAATCCAGTGATCTTTTTAGCAGTATTGGCAACCATATAAGAAAACTTGATCCCCAGTTAAGGAATATGCAGTCTTCGGGTCAGGAAATCTTTGTTGAAATTTGGTACAATGATAACGAAATTGTATCTTAGGCTAGCCCCAATTATACTCTATTATTCTTATACCTGTAAAAATCTTTCTTTATGTGCTTTTATAGAGGAGGATGCATTTGTCCAATATTGCTTGTATAGTATTAGTTAACATTCATCCCCCCCCATCCCCCCTCCAACTTTATAGTTTTGTTTCCTGCTACCCGACCTACCCTATTTTTTTGTACCTGATCCTAAAGTTTTTTTTTAATTTTGGAAGAAAAAAATCGAGAATTTTCGGAATTTCATCTTTCTATCACTGTAATCGGTTTCTGTGTTAACACAAAACAAGCATTTCATGAAATTCTTGTTTTAAATATGGACTTTAATAAAATACCACTTGAGTTGTGCATAAAAAGACATGAAATTTAATTTTGATAGACAATATTGACCTGTGACATGTTTAATTTATCTTGTATTAGTTCATATCCAAAAAATGTTGTCGGAAAAAAATAAAATAAAAATATAAAATAAAATAATTTTCCTACCTACCTATCCTATTTTTTTCAGGCTGGTAGCAGGAAACAAGACTATAGGTCGGGTAGCAGGAAAAAAGACTATTATTTTTTTGGCCTATAATACTCCCTACTCTTTAAGAAATGGGCATTTATTTTGGAAGTTTTATTCCTAGCTGGTAACAATGATTGCTAACATAAATTGCTAACACATCAACTAGAATTTATGTTGAAGATATTTAAGCACCTTTAACGGTCATATACAATATCTTTAACTTTATAAAGTACTTTGTTGTGATCACTGATAAATATCAGTTTTGATACATTTCAATGTTTTCAGTGCATTAATGCACAATCGATAAATAATGTTTTATCACAATTATAAGCAAGAATTTAATGTGCTCTTAGAGATGATCATAATTATTTATTAAAGAAACTGTATCAATTTAAAAGAAAAAAGAACGTATTTACAAGAATAAAGCAACATAGAAGTAAGGACAAAATGAAGAATGAAAAAAGTTCAAAGAGAAATGTAATAAAGACGAATATGGGTGAATTAAAAAAAAATGACCACCAAACTGAATTTTTTTGGCAAAATTCAACTACTTATAACATAT